CTTCGCTACCCCCACGGCCAGGGACTGGCCCCACACGGGCGCCCCGTATAGGGCCATTGATCGCACCACCCCTGTATAGAGACGGCGCGTCACCTGGTCAGGCCCCCCAACATTGGGAAGGAGCCGGCTTAACGCGCCGGCCACCCCCAACAAACGAGGGACCAGATTCTGAAAGTGAGCACGGAAGGTCCAACGACTGTCTAGAATGAGGCCGAGGTACTTCAACTGCACCCCGACCCCGATACGGACGCCTCCAACCACGATATGGGCATCGACAGGTGGCACTCTCCGGGGCCTGTGGAACCACATGGCCTCGGATTTACTGAGCGCCACGTCGAGGCCCAATCTCCTGATTTTGCCGACGACATGCGCCACCCCAGCCGTAGCAAGACGGGCAGACTCAGCAAAACTCCCCCCCCGGGCCACGACCAACGTGTCGTCTGCGTAACAGATTACGCTCAGGCCCGGGAGGAGGGCACCCCTCAGCACCCAGTCATACCCGATATTCCACAAAAGAGGGCCGAGCACCGACCCCTGTGGAACACCGCGCACGACCGGGAACCGGTGCACGATCCCACTGTGTCCGGTACACGTGACCGATCTGTCTTCCAAGTAGGAACCCACCAGCCGGCGAAGGTAGGGGGGCACTCCGTGTCGTTCCAGCGCCCCCCCTATCACGGACCAGGGCAGGGTGTTGAACGCATTGGCGATATCGAGTGACACCGCCAAAGCCACCCCACCCCCGGAAACGGCCTCATCCGAGAGGGCCCGCACGCGAAGGATCGCGTCTACCGTTGAGCGGCCCTCTCGGAAGCCATATTGCTCCGCCGAAATCTAGAGCCTAAGTGCGAATGGTTCGCATTCCAGTCACCCCCAGCAATAAATCTGTAGTCCAAGCTTACAAAGTGGTCAGAAAAGTGTCACTTATTTTATGTTTTGGGAGACAATAAATTGATGATATATTAAAGTCTCCATTTCTGTCACTGACTGCTACTGTGGTAGCCTGGATAGGTTCGATACAGTAGTTTGGTTACACATGGTGTCTAACAGTGGCTTTAATTATCACTGCTGTCCCGCCGTGGGCTGTCTTACCCGTGTGTACCGTCTGGATGATTTGTGGAATAGATCTTATATCCTTTAATTCTTATCGAGCTGCTGGTCGTCATGTGTCTCTGAAATTAGGAGAATGTCTAGACTATGTAGACAGATCAGGATTTCCACTTCATCGATGTTGGGTGCCAAGTCATTGGTGTTCCATGTAGCTATTTTTAGTGCAGTCATTTTATTAACTTAGAGGCTAGTACTGCAATGAGTTCAAGTAATGTACTCATTTGCTGTAATACAGTAGCAATCTTTTGGGATTGTTTTATAAACATTTGTTCTATGACTTTATAAGAGTCTGGTTGATGGATTGTATTATTTTGAGGTACCTTAGATCTGACTGTATAGGCATACGATTTGTGCTCATGTGTTTTCCTCTGCTTCTGCAGGGGTTCATTTTCCTCTTTATTCTGATTGGCAGATGTTTTATTATCAGTTTCTTTCCTATTTTTTGAGGTTTATACTTAAATTGCTTATGTTTACGTGGTAAGTGTTGCGAGGTTTTCCTTGATAGGATTTACTTGTATACTTATGGTTGTATTCGAGTTTTCTCTAGATGAAAATTATACAGGTTTACGAGTTAATAATCTTTGTTACACAAGAGGTGTAACCCAACACTGGTGGTAGGACCTCTTGTGAGTCCGCGCGGGTAGGTAACACCACCCTGCCTATTTCTGTCGTGAGGCAGTAACGTACTTGAGACTTTCGAACTTATATGTCAAGGCTATGCATTGCGCTTCACATTTCATTTTATTTTTCTTAAAGCAGAATTTACAAAAGATTATGCTGTATAATGTGATCCTCTCGCCTTTCGCTTGGACAAATTCATAGATTATACGCTATTTAGGTACCTACCTACCATTAAGCGACAATTCTCAACCGAAACATATTGAAAAAATAAAATATATGAATAGACATTTTTACACGGATTTGAAAAATATCTATAAATGAAGAATACTAAATGATGAATCAAACCTTCTTTATAGTTTTTATACACAACTCTGTTTTATTCTTTTACTTGTCACCTCGACTTAATGTCATTCTCTCTCCATAAAATAAAATGTTCATTGTTTTACTTTAATTATCGTTTATTTTAAAATCCACAACACTAAAGAATTAGCTTTTTTCCCTTGAAACATAAAATTATATATTATGAAAATATTAAACTTAAGAATTGGATGTATGGCTTAGTTCCATTGCCTTTCTCTTCGAGAAAAACCCTTTATACCTACCATTAAAATTATTTTAGGTTAGGTTATCAAAATAAAGAAAAAAGTAAAAGTTTATAGTGAGGTACACATTCAAATTAAATAATTATGGTGTATCAATATTACGTAAAGATTTAATAAAAAATAAGTTTTACTCCTAACTACGTGTGCTAAACAAGTTTGCTGAAAATCCTAAGTTTTAAATACAAAATGTTTCGCAATTTTGTTAAAGTTTTTGAACCTGTTAAAAATCATTTAGTAAGTGCATTTATAATGAATATACATTTCGTGTTTTAAAATGTTATTGACTACATTAGTCTGCTTAATTAGGTGCGTGCGGTCGCTGGAAACGGGGCTAGTACAGAAGTTGCGGGCAGCGTCTACGAAAAGAATTGTGTTTCCAAAGAACAACAACTGACAGATGCATTGAAAAAGGCTATGCCGGGAATCACGTACATCAGTGTGCAAGATATATCTGGGGGTTGTGGCGCTATGTTTGAGGTATGCCAGACTAGTAAATAAATAAATAACTGATCATCCAGCCCCAAATTAGGATTCCCTGTGTTATGGGTACCAGTGAGATACATACTTATTTACCTTTAAAAATAAATATAAACTCCCAGACCAGAAGAGAAAACAAAATTGTTCATTATGCAACATTCAGGTGTGCTGTACTTTGCCACTGAGTATATTTCTAAGGAATTACATAATAATATACAGTTTGGTCATAAATACTGTTATAATAAAATAATGATAATGACATTACATTTGAAAAACCTGTCATTTTTATGATTGTAATTTATTGGGTTGGCTCTTATTTTTGCCAATTTTTGTCAAATATTCTTGTTAAGATGGATTGGATTATGAAAAGCAGGTGGAGAGTACTGTACTTTTTAAAAACACCTCTCCATCTGATTTATATTACTAAAGTAATCTATTGTATTACTAAAATAAAGTAGTAAAGTTAAATCAATTATTAACACTTTAACAAAGTGACTATAACCAGGTTGGCAGTGACCATATATAATTTGACTATTCATTTTAGCTATTGACTATTTTTGTCCAGTAGGATAAGCTATACTAATGTCTCCATATCCTTGTTGAATTATAAGAAAATGCACGCACACCTAAGCTAGTCTTTACTTAGTGGCAGTCTCAGCCGGTAAATAAAGTGTTAAGCACATATCAAATGGAATGACAATGGCAATCAGAAAATTAAATATATGAATTTAATAAAAGCCCTCTGTTATTTTTTAAACTATTCATTATGTTATCATGAATTTATTATTTTTTGCTGAGATGTGTGGACGGCCTCATGCAGCCACCTGGTGTCAAGTGGTCACCGGAGCTCATATACTTGAACAACGTACTTAAATGCCACCACCTAACTTGAGATCTAAATCTCAGTTTTCACTACAAACCCTGTGAAGTACTTAATTCATCAGAAAAATTAGTATATACCTGCCTGCGGGATTCGAACACCCGGACAGTCGCATAGCTCGATATGCTATGGAATGCACCGGAGGTCTCATTGTGCAGGCGATGACCGCTTTTAAAATATCTATGGGCTCTGTTGATCACTTGACATCAGACTGCCACCTCATTCACTCGTTTATGCAATAAAAAGTACCTAACTACGATCTGTGAAACAAGAAATGGAGTCTTATTTTTATTTTCCCCTCTTTATTTTAATTCACTACAAAATATTATTATTATTTCACAGATAAGTGTGGAAGCTAAAGAATTCGTAGGGTTGAACAGAGTGAAACAACACAGATTAGTAACAGATTCTCTGAAGAATGAAATAGCAGAAATGCATGGCATCCGTATTCATACGACGCCGGCCGCCACGCAATGAGTATATTGTTGAAGGGGGAAATAGCTTCTAAATTTCCTAAATAACGAATTTCTGAAAGAAAAATATCTAAAAATACAGTTAATGCCATTAGACAAGTATACTTATACTGAAGATTCGCTTTCAAAAGTAAAATTCAACCATTAGCAGCAGAATTTTTCCAATTTCTCTTCCATCATAAGTAAATATGTACTGAGGTTATGATTTCAGATGAAATGAATAAAAACACATTCATTCACAAGCTCTAAGTGTCTTGGAACAGCATCACCCAAGCTAATTCCCTCTCCTCTTTTGTATTTTTATTGACCTTTTATGTACATAATTGTTGACATCATAAATTGTTGATATGTTGTAGTGATAGCAATAAGAATTTTTGTTGAGTATCGTATGATATGATTTGTTGTATTTGTTAAAATTTGAAATTGTAGATATATTCTATTTGATCAAAATATTTGTTTTGTTTTATATCTTGTTTTTGTTCCCTATATATCCCAGGCGCACTTAGCGGTTTCAACCGTGTAAAATCTGTAATTTCGACATAAACGGCGCTCGTTAACGGGAGAGGCCCCAGGAGCCGCCGCTCGCTCTGGCCCTTTTTTTTTTTGCTTAGATGGACGAGCTCACAGCCCACCTGGTGTTAAGTGGTTACTCGAGCCCACATACATCTACAACGTAAATGCGCCACCCACCTCGAGATATAAGTTCTAAGGTCTCAGTATAGTTACAACGGTTATCGAGCCGAAACGCCATTACTCTTCACGGCGGAAATAGGCGGGGTGGTGGTACCTACCCGTGCGGACTCCCAAGAGGTCGTACCACCAGTAATTACGCAAATTATAATTTTTGCGGGTTTGATTTTTATTACACGATATTATTCCTGAGGATGACTTGAGTATGTGCAGACAGGCATAATTAAATCTAAACTGAACTCTTTATCTATTATCTACTTTTTGGTTTTGTATTTTTTTTAGATATTCCCGCTTTTTCATAGCAGCAGCAATACTCTAATCCCCCCTCACAAATACCAGCAGCTCTAATGACTACACCCTAAAGAATCTTGATCGACTGATCATATTATTATTGTAAACACAATAACGTTACCTTGAGTTCGAAGAGTAGTTTAGTATAAGTCTGTATAAATAAAACAGCACACAGTAGATTTACAACCTATTGGTTATATTTATTTATGAGATGTTTACAGCCTGGTACAGAATCGAAGCTAGACGTTAGGTCTTCCCTTATATATTGTAGTATTCACTGGGAGGTCAATAAAGTTAGCTTCTCATTAAGTTGGAGTTGGGTCTTGATCAACTGTGCTAACGTCACCACCTGTAAACAGACGAAAATTGTGTTAGTGATTCGTCATCAGAGTAATCGTTGTCAAGTCATTTGTGGTTCCATTTCAATTTCAATATAAAGTTAACTGTTACCTAAATGTAACATAATATGTCAACTGCGACGGTATTCAAGAGAATTCATGACTAATCTATCCCCACTTTCTATTATTAATACGACGACTGACTATTGTCGCACAGCGTTCCTCCCGATCCACTAACGGTGCTTTGAGGTTCGACGAGTAAATTAACCTTAAGACACAGCTCACTCAGTTTCTCGCCGGATTTTCTCAGTGGGTCGCGTTTCCGATCCGGTGGTAGATTCTGCGAAGCACGGCTCTTGCTAGGGTTAGAAACGACGTCAGGTTTGAGCCGCGTGAGCTCACCTACTAGTTAAGGTTACGCTGAAATAGCCTCTCAAGACTATCAGCTTAGGTAGGAAAAAAAAAATTCGCACAAAACATTCCGGTCCGAGCAGTCGAACGGAGCAGAGATCTCTGTTGTTATCGCTGTATACTTCAAGTGTAATAAATGTAATTCATTGGAAAAGGGACTCTTAATAATTATTGTCACTATGGAAGGCAATAATAATAATGAATGGGAAATATTTGCTGCTATGCCCAGGAAAGTGCACAACATCCAGTTTTAAGGTGATTCATTATTGGCCAACCACGCATTCAAATATAGTTTGATTCAAAATATACACAGCGTTATGCTAAGAGTTACTGAAAACGTAGTTTTTGTTGGTAAGAAATCTATGGTGACATTTTATATCTTGATACTATTTGAAAGTTCACTGTTATGATGCAGTCTGCATGCATCATTGTGAGTTTAATGATATCTTATGCTTAAAAGCAAATGGTAAATCAAACCCAGCACTATATAAAGGTAATTTTCAAGAACTGGCTGAGATTAGTACTGTTGATGAGGGACAGCAGAATTGACAAAACTATATTTCAGCACAAGTTTTGGATGAATAATCATAGGCACTCGTATGGTCCCTGTGTAAGTACTTGCCATTAGCAACACAAGGATTGGATGTTCGTATTCATGAAAGGTATCCAGAAACCATCCCGTTCATTACACTTATTTTATACTTATATATTACACTTTTATATTACACTTATACATTACACATATATATTATATATTATTATGTTTTAGTTAAACCCATAGCATGGTAGAGTGGTTGAGTGTGAACTTACCATAAGCAGATCTTTGACGCTGGAGGCGAAGGCATCTGAGAAGGTGTCCTTGGCAAGGTCAGGTGCGGAATGTGCGAGCTGCAAGAGGGCGCGGCCCGCCTCCGCGTCGGCCGGTGCTCCGGCGGCCGCTCCGTCCGCGTACTGAAGCGCCTGCTCCAGCAGCGACTCCAGCGAGCTCGCCGCCGACATCACCTGCGCCAGGTCCGAGCCCGCGGCCACGCCGCTCGACCCGCGACCTCCACCAGACACAGTCTTCTGGCACACTTGCAGACCTACAATCTGATCAATCAAAGCAAACGTTTACTCTATGCCGCAAAACATTAAAACTCTAGATAGGTTTTTTACTGGTGGTAGGACCTCTTGTGAGTCCGCGCGGGTAGGTACCACCGCCCCGCCTATTTCTGCCGTGAAGCAGTAATGCATGTTAATATGCTCAGGCCTTTCCTGCTAATAAGGGATTACCAGACCTACTGATAACGCAATGTGAATGTCACCAGCCTTAACCAAATTGCCTTTCACCTGTCAATACATTGGAGATTTTTTTAAGTTATACTTCTTTAGGTGCGTTATGAAAAATTGATGAGAGTGAAATTTTACGATGCGCGTGACACAAAATTAACGGAAATGAAGTTGCCCACAAGTGCTCCAATACAATTGAGGTTAACTATCCGTATGTATTATTTAGTAATATAAATGACAAAATTATTATTTAATATAATTCATGCTAAACATTATTAAATTATTAACGTTAAATATTTATTATTTAATATTAAAAAAAAAGAAATAAATTTAATAAAAATTAACTATAACTTCTTACGGGCGCACGCACCCTTTTTTTATTTAACAACATTTAACAATATGTGATTCCACACAATGCAGTTTTTAAGTTCATGCATATTGAAATATTAACCAGCTGATGATTTTGAATAGCCTTTTTGAACACAAATTTAAGCCTGTAGCAGTCAGAGTTTAATGGTCTTTCAGCAGTTTTCACCATATTTTTGCTTAATAAAGCAAATATTGACAATGAATACAGTACAAAATCTTCAATAATTACCTCAGGTTCATAGCACGTGAGAGTGACATCTACAGGAGTGAACATGCAACCTTGCTTTCCATTTGGCACTCCTAATGGTACACAAACATATGCACGTAAACCCATTCGACCTCCAGCCAGTGAAGTGTCCAGAGTAACATGGACAGGCTCACGGCATTCACGGGAGTAATACTCGTGTATAACAGAGGAGTGGTTGGTTACTTCATTGCCAGTCGCCCACCAACCTAAAAAGAATACAAATAAGTTTGAATTTAAATGTATAGGCTAAGGGAAGTAAAAGATCCAATTTTATTAATTGGCAATTGTCGAGAGTGTTAACTATAAATGTGGAAGGCTACAGAGGAAGAGGTAGACCTAAGAAGAAATTGATGGATTGCATGAAGGACGATATGTGTAAGAGTGGAGTGAGCAAAGAAATGGTATTATGATAGAGGAGTATGGACGGAGAAAACATGTTGCGCCGACTCCAGGTGACTCGGAGAAGGCAGGAGAATGATGATGATGATGACGATGAGGCAATTAGTGTAAATTGTGTATGCGTCTGTGAGTATTGTTACATATGTGAATTTGAGTATAATGCAGGTATAGCTCACCAACAATACTTTCAGAGGAATTGACTCTTCTGTTCAGCTCGTAAACATCCATCGCGTAATTAAGTTCCGCTTCGACTTGATCGGCATGTTCTTTGTGTGGCACGCAGAAGCAGTTGGTTACTTCCACCACTCCTTTGTCGCTCGTGCCTGCAGCAACAGCACAACATAACCTTACAACGCCTTTACACATTTGTATTGCATCTGGCTTATGTGACCAAGGAAATTTAGCAAATTAACTATAACGTTGATGTGGAAAAGCCAAAGTGAAATGTGTAATGATAATTGACGTCCATATTTAGTATATAGGGATTTTTCTTTTAAATAACAACTCATAAAATTTGGTACACGACATGACGTTGACAACTAATGTCCTTTGAATTTATAGTTATTGCATGATTTATAAATCAATACGAACCCAATAAGGTGCCGATAACTCTGTGAGAATCTGCATTTCGACGTTCGTATGCGTCCACAATTTGAAATAAAACAACAGGATGGACCTTTACACTAATATTGAGAGCCATTTTAAATTCGACCAAAAACTACAAACCTAGAAACACAGAGTACAAGAGAATATTGTAGGTATTATCTCTGCTAATTTTAATTTTTTTAGGGATTTTATGAACTGGTAATTAAGACCTTTAAGTCATGTCTTATTTTTATGAAAAATGATAATATGGAGTGAAATGAAATAAAATGAAGATGATTAATTTGAGACATTAGGGTCAATTCCCACTGAAAGAGCAGCGGCGCGCAGCGGCCGTAAGAGCAAGTGACTGAGCGCGGCGCCCCAAGGGGCAGTGTGGCGCCGCGCGGGGCAGTGCGGCGCCGCGAGAGGCAGCGCGGCATCCCGAGGCGCTGCAATGAGCCTCGGATTTGGATTTATGTATCATAGCAGTGGCTGTAGAAGAAGAACAAGAAGTAACAAACAAAACGGAAAGAAAAAGGAAAAGAAAATTTTGGGTACATTTTTTTCTCACGGAGCGTAGCACGTTCTAACTTGATACCCTCTAATAAAATGACGCGAAATGCGCAAGCGGCAGGGCGGGCGGGTATGAAATGGTTGCTCGCGCGCAGCCGCGAGTCTGTCAGCTGCACCGCGGTCGGCCGCACGTCAGCTAGCTGCGCCGCGATCAGCCGCGCGGCGCCTCTTTTGACTAGTCGGTAGAAGGCTCGTGCAGCCTCGCGACGCCACGCTACCCCTCCTGTGCCTTCAAATGACTATGAACTTTTTAATCACGTAGATAAGATTCAAAATAGTTTGTAATATTTTGCCTCAAAAAGACGCTGCCGGCCGCTGCTCTTTCAGTGGGAATTGACCCTAATCAACTAGAATGAAATGAGATTTTTTATTGGATATCTTAAAAGATCACAATAGGCTAAGCACTCTATCTCGCTCACACCCGCTTGAACAGTTGCTACCTCGCGCTCGCACCTACAGCGGGCTCTCAATGTGTCTGGCAAGATGTAAGAACCATTAAAACTGTCCGGCTATTGGGGTACCATATTTTTATAAGTCCCTAAGTAACATATATAAAATTTAGCTTTTATAGTATAACGAAAGTATAATTAAAATTTATTAAAGTTTAGGGGTGTCTGGCAGGGGGTAACAACTGGAAAAAGTGTCCGGCAACGGATATCATGATTTCTAAAGATATTCTGGAGTAAATATTAAAATAAAAACCTTTATACTTTAACGAATTTAAGGTACTATTTTATATACCTTTACTGCCTGTTACCTGCCCAAGTAACCACAATCGAAACTCTATAATCGCGGGTCGTTCTTACCTGTGTTGGAGACATACACAGAGAAACTTTCAGCTTTTATAAAATAACGAAGGTCTGGCTGTCGCGGGCTCTTGCTCTATTACTGAGATTTGTGAAAGAAAAGGCGTTGTTAGCTGACAGTTATTTAATGAAAGGAATTCACAAGTTGAGCTGTCGTTATATTGGACACAGTTTTCGTTGTTGATGACATTTCCACAGCCAGGCTGCAGTCACGGCGCGGCCCTTGATTCGCGGCGCGGCGCCGTCGTCGCACACCACGTAATCTACGCGGCTGTCCTCATCCAGCTGAGACTTCTGAAAAATGTACATTTGTTTAAAATTAGGAAAATATGTATATTTATCCAATCATAGAGGAAATGTGACAATCATGAAATTTTTTAACTATTTTGAATTAATATAAATTTATATAAATATAAGAATATAAATTTATTGCTCTTGTAGGCAGACGAGTATACGGCCCATCTGATGGTGAGTGGTTCCCGTCGCCCATGGACTTCAGCAATGCCAGGAGCAGAGCCAAGCCGCTGCCTATCGTTAAGTACTCTCTACAAGCCTCGTTTGAAGAAGGGCATGTCATATTGTTGTGCCTGCAGCACGAGCGACCTGCAGCACGCGCCCCCCGTAGGCCCGCAGGTAGCGCCAGCAGCGCGCCCGCAGTTGTGTGTCCCCGGCCTCCACCGCGAACGTTACTCCCTCAAAGAACGCCGGCAGCGACTTGCTGTCGTCTATCTGGAAACAATACTTAATATTTAAAAAAAAAGTACATTTAAAAATTTATTTAAGTTTAATGTAGAACGGTGGGCGTGAGTGACTTCAGACGAAATGTAATGATATCTCGTGTGCATTGTGTGCACAATAAAAAAGAAATTGCATTTATATTACTGCATTAACTATTTTTTACATATGGCAACAATATTTGTATTACGGGTAAGCTAATTTTTTATTATTAAAATGTATGTTTCTGGTTTTTTTTTACTGCTTAGATGGGTGGACGAGTTCACATCCCACCTGGTGTTAAGTGGTTACTGGAGCCCATAGACATCTACACCGTAAATGCACCACCCACCTTGAGATACAAGTTCTAAGGTCTCAAGTATAGCTACAATGGCTGCCCCACCCTTAAAACCGAAACGCATTACTGCTTCACGGTAGAAATAGGCAGGGTGGTGGTACCCACCCGCGTGGACTCACAAGAGGTCCTACCACCAATAAATCCGTTAGTAATAGTATTAGGCCAGAGTGAGTGTACGTGCCGCGTGCTCGGCGCCGCTGTCGGCCCCGGCGTCGGTCTCGTCCGAGTCCGACTCGACCGCGAGCGACGCCTTGACCCGTTCGTCGCACACGAACTGCACGTCGGGCTCGCCGCTGTCCCCCCTCGACCCTGTCGCGCCGGCGCGGGGGCTCGGCGCCCGGCCGCGGTCCCGCACGTCCTCGTCGGTGTCCGCTGACTCGTCAGTTTCTGGATGACAAGTAATTGGTCAAAATTACGTTTTAATTACATTTTTGCCTAATTTGTAGGCAGCAACTTGGCTCTGCCCCTGGCATTGCTGAAGTCCATGGGCGACGGTAACCACTCACCATCAGGTGGGCCGTATGCTCGTCTGCCTACAAAGGAAATAAAAAATAATAATAATAATAAATTTTGTATTGTGGTTTAAAAATATTGGTAGCGGCGTCCGTCTGTTCTTATTAATGAATGAGCAATCGAGTTGTCGGCGTGGTGCGTGAACCTGCAGCGTGTGGTGGTGCGGTGCGCTGGTGCGGCTCCGTGGCGTAGGGGCGCCAGGGCAGGCGGCGGCGCGCGCGGCGGCACGCTCGCAGCCAGTCCGCGCGCACGGCGGGCACGGCGCCGCCCGCCACGCGCCGCACCTCCTGCAGCTTCGGCGTGTTGGGAAACGCGCATCTGCCGGCGACACGACGCTGTACTCCACGTGGCACAGCGGACATTACAACATGTCGCGGAGGTCGGAGGGCACGTACATGAGATGCGTGCAGGCGGGCCCCCAGACGGGCTCCCAGCGCGCCCCCAGCGCGACCCCCTCGCGGCGCAACTCTTGGCGGAGCGGGTTCTGGTAGCCGCTCAGCACGAAGCGCACGCCGCGCAGCACGTCCGCTGCGACACACGCGACTGTAACATATACTAATGACACCAGCGGTCAGGTGCGGGTGTAGCGGCCCGGGCGACTCACCGAGCTGTCCCCGGGGGGCGGGCGCGGTCCCGGCGCTGTCGTCTCGCTTCACCCGCTTTGCTCTCGATGATATATTGTCTATATTTTTCTGGACTTCTTTCTGTGATCACACAATATGGACATCAGTATCACCCCTGATGACTAATACAGTATAATAGGATAAGCCTTATTTGTCTGTTCGTCACCGCAAGCCGTGAGCCGGGTCGTCGAAAGGCGACTTACGGACACTGGGTACCGCCGTCTTGCCTATATCCGTATTCCAGTTTATAAACGAGAAGGCTATTATACAATACAATTGACATTTCGACCTCACGTCTCAGGCAACATTCGCGTTGTGAAGTCAACGGGTTGTTCACCGCGGGTCGGCCTGTCCTTCAACCAAATATATATTCCCGGCAACAACGCGACAGGCGTTCCGCGCCGCTTCCGCCGCTCCTGCATCTGGTGGACAAATCTAGCTCACCGGGTCCCCCGCGCTATTGTCATCGGTCATCTTGTCACCCTTATGTCTATTAACGGTTTGGTCTATTTTTGCATGGTGTCTGGTGTCCTCTTCATCGTGCATCCGAGCGTCCCCGTCGCTGTCGGAGCGGCGCCGCCCGGCCGGCCTCTTCTGTTTGCTCTGTCGGAGTGTGGCCGCCGCGCTGAGGCCGGGGGAGGTGGCGGGGGAGTCCCCGGGAACGTTGCGGAGCGCGCGGGACGTCGCCTTGTGTATTTGGGATTCTGAAAATTGTATTCTGTATGAAAGCTGCGAGACGTACCCGCAGTTAAGCACTCGTCTAAAGTTTAAACGGAAATAATATTAAGTTAAATAAAATTTATATTGTAAATAAATAAAATTATAGAGCAACCCCGGGGCAAACACCGACGNGGCGGGGGAGTCCCCGGGAACGTTGCGGAGCGCGCGGGACGTCGCCTTGTGTATTTGGGATTCTGAAAATTGTATTCTGTATGAAAGCTGCGAGACGTACCCGCAGTTAAGCACTCGTCTAAAGTTTAAACGGAAATAATATTAAGTTAAATAAAATTTATATTGTAAATAAATAAAATTATAGAGCAACCCCGGGGCAAACACCGACGTGCCGCGGCCCCCGGGTGCCGGCGCCGGCCGGGGCAGCCCGGGGCGACAAGCCGTTCTACTGAACCGTGTTTGAACTTCGTTTCCTAACTGACTAATATTAGGTATTCATTTATAAACATTATATCCAAGAACATGAAAATTGTGGTTCAGAATTGGCAGCTGTTGAATTATCGACCTTATTGACAACACCGCTCAGTTTAAAACCTATTTACCTGTACTCGCCGGGCTGCTAGTTTTATCGTCCCCCAGTTTCAGCGGACTATCCTTCTGGGTGTAGTATTTAGCGAATAATTCCCCAGGTTTGAACTCTTCCTCGTCCGACGAGAAGGTGTCCAGGGCGAGGGGGCGCGGCGGCGCGGGCGGGGGTCCGTCCCCGGGCTCGTCGATGTGCAAGAACGAGAGGCCGAACTGAAAGGTTATATTAGTTTGAAGCCATGAACAGTTTTATAAAAATGAATATGTACTCTTATGAATATCATCAATAGCATCTCTGCCAGGTCTCGCGAATCGAAGACACAGCAAAACTATTTTTATATCCTAATGTAACAATTTTAATTCATCCTCATCAGCCTGCGGCAGTCCACTGCTGGACATAGGCCTCCCCCAAAACTCGCCACTGAACCCGATATTCGGTTCTACGCATCCAGTTACTGCCAGCTGCCTTGCGCAGGTCGTCACTTTATCTAGCAGGAGGACGTCCTACCCTACGTTATTTTAATGATGTTTAAAAAATTTAATTATGTTTTACTATTAGCGATCCTCATGACCGCGGGTTTTAGTAGTGTTTAATACTTATTATATATTACTTATAAAATATTAGTTAGATAGATAGTTATTAGGGCAACCGGGGCGCATGGTACCTGGCAGTGCCTGTTGTAGGGCTGCGCGCACACGACCCGCAGGCGGTCCCAGCGGCGCCCCCGGGCCGCGGCCGCCAGCTGGTCGCCGCGCCACGCCCGCACGCGCTGCACGCCCTCGGCGCGCCGGGACTCGCTGGGCGACAACATCACGCTGCTGGGGACCAGTACCTGAGCATGTCTCTCCGGTCACTCCACTGTCAATATCTATGTTTGAAAGCGACGGGCAGCAGAAGCAGCCGGGTGCCGGGATATGCCCTACATGATCCCTTGAGTTTTTCAATCCTATTTTTATTCTTATATAAAATTATAGACCCTGTTATTCATGGTGAAGACATTTGTTGACATCTTCAGATATGATGATAACCAGAGTAAAGCTACATTTTTGAATGTAACCTTTTTAGTGATTCCAAAGTACACTATTATTTTAGAAGCCTCCATATTTGAAACTGTTCCCTCCTAAGCATCCTAGATATTCATCAATTACAAGACCCCTAATGCAAAGTTCCCTAACAGTTGAGTAAACATACCTCAAAGGGTTCATCAGGTTTTTCAGATCTTCCAACGAGCACCTCCACAGTAGCAGCATGATGCACACCAAGATAGACTGATGATATCTGATTTTTAAGATGTTATTGGTTTTTTTGCCAGGTTTACTTGAGGAAAGTTGAAGTCATACACTATATAAGAAAACTATCTTGACTATTGTCTATTGATATATCATTATTATATCCACAAAGAAACCCATTTCCGAGTACAAATAATCAAAATATACAAAAACTATAGAAAAGAGTGATTTAGAACAAGGTATAGAACTATAGACCAGATTTACATTTCAGCATGCCCTTTTTGTATCGTAGGTTTGTATATCAAAATTACAAATATGAAAAAATTTAAGATTTTAATAGATCATGTTTGTTAAGAGCTTGCCTGGACTGCCTTGGCCAGCTGAAGTACGACTGAGCAGGAAGACTCTCCCTTGCAGCACAGCCATTTCTTCTTGTTCACTTCCAATGCCAACAGATTGTTAGCTGGGTGATCCTGGTAGAGAAGCAAAGATACTATTATGCTATACATGTTACAAAGAACATTACCCAAACCCTTTTTTTCTCCTGTGTTATGGATGGCAGAACACATTTGAGATGAAAATAAGTATCTCCAGACCCCAAATAAAAGAATTGAATTGTGGTATAGTTGTAAGTAAACACTAAAGCAGCAGGTTACCAGGGGTAAGATGTAGTCTAATAACATTGATATTATGTGGGCTTAGAAAAAAAAAAATTATATGGCTTAGAAATTTTTGAATTTAAATTAATAAAACTGTACTATATTTTTATTAATTAGGGTTCTACTGCATGCTCATTAAGTACAAAATAACTTTCCATTACATTTATGATAACTTTATTTTCAACTCTTGATTCCCATTCATACTTTGCTGTGATCAAATATATGAAATTGACTTTTGTCTATATGACATGGATGCCATTGTGTAGTATTTTTTTGTTACTGTTACTGTGTTAGTTCTTTATTTATTTATAGCTTAGATGGGGGGACGAGCTCACAGCCCACTTGGTTTTAGTGGTTATTGGAACCCATAGACATGTGCAATGTAAATGTCGCTACCTACCTTGAGAGATGAGTTCTAAAGTCTCAGTTTTTATAGTACAACCACTGCCCCACCGTTCAAACTGAAACACATTACTGCTTAACTGCAGAAGTAAGCAGGGTGGTGGTACCTACCAGTAATTACGCAAATTATAATTTTGCTGGTTTGATTTTTACTATACGATTACTCCGGGCAGAAGGTAGATGTATCGAGCAGTTGCGGTTTCTTCTATAAATCGAGTTTAAAAACAGCCACATAACATTAATTTGGATCCAAATGAGTTCATCAACATTCCTCATATAGTTCAATTTAAATGGCTAAAGAGAGAGGCCTGGTTTATAAAGTGAGACTAGTTTGGTGCATTTTGAATACGACAAAGGTATACATTATTTAAAAATATCCGATGACCTGGCTTACTGTCATCATCATATCGTTACAATCCCGTGCTTCGTGGTGGGCGGTGGGTAGGGCTTAGTAATTTATCATCCGGGAACAATCACTTACGATCAGGTAGGCATGTTTCAAGCAAAATTTAAAAATTCAACTACGGTTTCAATATCACTCATTGGTTTTTGTCAATTAATAGGTTAGATTATGATTACTATCAAAACTTACAGGATCCTCGCTGCTGAAGCTAACGACGTAATCAATTTTCACGCGCGGCATAGCGATACACCTTTATTTAGGAACATGTAATAATTTGGCCCTATAGTACTTGATAAAGATAATTGTTTTACCCTTAACGCACATTAACAATAAACGGTCACTTATGATGAGTTATTTAAAAAAAATGTAAAAATTTTAATAATTTATAGCTGGTTCGTTAAATTCGGTCGAAAATCGAAATTAAAATATTAATATTGTTTAGAAAACATTGAATTTTTTTTTCTTCATCCGTCGGACCGGTATCGTGGATTTACCTCATACAGCCAAATCATTTAAACGAAAAGCCCCAAGCCATGTTTGTTACATGAAAAGTGATGATAATGATGTTATTGCTTCGATTGATAGGTTTAATGAGGACAGAAGGTATGCTTTTTACTTTATTGAAAAGATAGATTTAGTTTAAACGCGTTTAAGCGTGGCTGTTCTGTGTTTAAACGTGTAATAATATTAATGAATAGGCTTAATAGTAATTTATTATCTGTGCTTCAATGTATAAATAACGGTATATTAACGAAAGCCAAATGCAATTTATAAAGAAAAAACAAGGAGAAACTTTTGTTTGATAGATACTAGTTTATTATATTATGCGTGTAGTCTATGGTTACTCGTAGGTCGTTACTCGATAAGTACACAATAAATTTTAATTCGCATCTTATTTTGCATTTTCTTCTTACTTTATTCTTTGATATTTTATTAGAATTTAGGTTTTTGTAATGGGAAACTTACGTTTAAGTCTAATAAAAGCTGTGAAAATTATTAGACTTTGACCTGATGTGGCATGCACGTTGTTATATCTACAGGTTCCCCTAACCACTTAATATCAGGTCTTGTCTATCTAATATAAAAACGAAATAAAATTTAGGCGCGTGAATAAACTAATTTGAATAAATAAATAAAAATATTATTATTAAATTATTGTATATTAAATTATTATTATTATATATTGAATAAATGACTTTTGTCAGAACGACATTAATAATATTGTAAATGATAAAAGTGAACAATATCATTTCAAGCACGCGAGGCGCGGGCTCCCGTCCGTGACTGCGTCGGACTCACGCGACTCCTCTTCACTCTTCCACTTCCGATTGTTTTTAATCGGCATTGGCGATGAAAGTAAAATTTATAACATATTTGCGTTACAGTATGTGGAGTGGAACTTTTTAGTTTTTCTATATCAAGAGGATAATGATATTATTATTCCATTTATTTTATTTCATAAATAGATATTTACGAGCTATGTGCTAAAGTTGTAGACTTAGTAGATTGACATAACAATTGAATAAGCCGAGCATAAGTCGTAACCTAGTTTTTTTTCTGTCTAGGTACGTTACAATCAAAAGTTATAAATTATTTTTTAAAATATGCACACATTTAAAACGCCTTAAACTAGCTAAGGTCAATAAATGTAAATTTATTTACATTGGTATCAGACTGTTACGAAACTAAATAAATCTCATCACTATTTATAAATTAAGTAATTTAAATAATATTAGCTTCTCGTTATCCTGTGTTTGTGCACGCGTATGATGACGGGTGATTCCGTAGGAATTTTTTTCTTTGGCAGTATCTTTCGTTTCTTGGTAGGTTTTTTGTGGTAAGAATATCCTCCGAGCGCTGTAGGCTGAGCGTACAATATCGTTGGAGACGACTCTTGGTTTGAATCATATGAATTGTGATGAGATTTTAGGTACGAGTATGGAACGGATGATGAATATAAACGTCCAAGGTCCGTCTCAGCAGAGAGCGTAGATTCAGCGTAAGTGGGATATTCGTAAGGACGCGGACGTGGATACTCTTTATGAGAGAAAGATGTTTGTGGGTATTCCACGAAAGATGGTCTTGTGTGTGTAGGAAAGTAGGGCTTGGAGAAGTCTGGTGACGTAAGGGAAGAGAAGTCAGACGAAGAGAACGTTTTCCCATAGAAAGAATTTCCCTGAGAAGGTCTGTTGTATTGTGACGAGGAGAACGAAGGTGTACTGTAATGAGTATGGTAGCTCGGCTTGGAGTAAGCCGAATGATGTTTGGATGCGGAGTGATGCAGGTCTCTGTTGGGTGCTGAGAGAGGCGACGGAGACAACACGTGAAGGACCGGCATCGGCGGGTGCAGTGGAATGGCGGCGAAGACATATGGCTCGTAGTCCTGGGAGAAGTCCTTGGCGTAAACACCATAATTACTGCGTTTCTGGATCAAATCTTGAAGCAGCTCGGAGCGCGCCCAGCCGCAAGCGAGCAGTAACCACGGGATCTGTGACGATAAGTATGCTATTTACAAATAATTTGTCTTCTTCAATTTAACCAAGCCTTTGTACATTTACTGAAGCCCACCGGGTACTTCGAAGTCCATCTAATTAATGCATATTTACTTGCATTGTTTTTTTAAACAGATATCCTAGTTTATCTTCCCAAATTTGAATTTAGTAATGACTATTTGTAAGATCGCCTTCATAATTACCGTTAAATTTTCTAAGTATTTAATAGTAACTTACAATGTTGTCCATGTCTGTGGTCCGGCCGGCTGGTCGACCTGAAGGCAACTGTGCCAGCAACGAGTGTGTATCGCGTATCCACATTTCAGTTACAGTACAGAGCTTAGTGCATAGCTGCATGGAGGAAATAGTAAGTGTGACAATGTATTGCTTTACTGTGCTCTCGTGTCTGTGTAGGTATAATCTATAGTAATAGAATAGAAAAACACAAATAAACTTAGATCGGTTGGTAAAACTTAATAAAATATCTATGTTGCATCAATCTTTTGAAATCTTTGTTAGATGATACTCTCATATTTTGTACCCAATTTAGAACTCTCTTATTTGAATCTGTATTTGAAGTCAGTTAAAAATGGTGTAATCTAGATTTGTAGTTTAAATTATTTGTAATAGATTCTATTTTGTTCATCCTTTAAGTGTTTATCTATGATGACCCGCCTGTTCTTGGGCGGTTTCTGCAGCCCATAGCAGCATCAATGCCTCCGCTCACTTTGAGGTATTCGAAGTCTTCAGTTACGGTACAATGGCTATACCCCTTCTAGAAATTTTGTTGTAGCTTCTCTTTATAGTTCCAGATACCAATGTTTACATTTAAATGCATGAAGTTGACAGCGCTGTAGCTAGTTTCCTTCCTCATGCTCGTGCTGGAAGGCGGAATGACGTAAAAACAACAAATCAAATCGTAAATTGTCCGGTTTTATAAAATAATGTTCTCTCATTAACAGCGGAAACGTTTTGAACCATTTAGTTGTGGATGGATATTTGAACCCATTTAAAAGGAATACTCGTATTTCCGTATAAAAATAAAAATGTCTAACGAAGGCAGAAGACGAGGCATAGCGCTCAGTGAGTGATCGACATCGCTCATGAAGATCATCTATGGCTGATGCTGAGTGCTCTTCTAACACATTGTTTGAAGGGGACGCTACGGCTACTCCCGTGGCGCTATAGTAATGAGTTGATGAGGTTTATCACAAAAAATACCTTAGAGCACCAAATGAATGAGAATCCCTCAATTTCCTTTGAGTAGACTGTGTGACTTACACAGAACGAACCGAGGGTCGGAGGTTCCACGTGCGCCTTAGAATAGAGTAATCCGTACGACCCTCTTCTGTATTAACCTGTTTCTGCAATAGATGTACTGGAGGGTCCTGGTCCAGGGATGAGAGTAGTACTCCACGCATTGCCGAACCTGTGCTTTGCTTTCTTTCTTTCGCTCTCTTGAGAACTCCCAACATTTTAAAAGTCAAAAGTCAACATTTTTACTGGTGGTAGGACCTCTTGTGAGTCCGCGCGGGTAGGTACCACCACCCTGCCTATTTCTGCCGTGAAGCAGTAATGCGTTTCGGTTTGAGTCGGCGCATTTACGTTGTAGATGTCTATGGGCTCCAGTAACCACTTAACACCAGGTGGTCTGTAACCTCGTCCACCCAGCTAAGCAAAAAAAAAGTCAAGTTGGTTTTCCTTCCAAATGACTTCGAAACTGAGCACGGCTCGAGAGAACGCGCCGGGTGTGGCGGTTTCTAATTAACGGAGCCACTCGGCGACTCCCATACACTGAACCAGGGGGTTCGAGCCCGCCCGGAACAGAACCGGGAGAAGTAAGTAGTTGAANCCAGGTGGTCTGTAACCTCGTCCACCCAGCTAAGCAAAAAAAAAGTCAAGTTGGTTTTCCTTCCAAATGACTTCGAAACTGAGCACGGCTCGAGAGAACGCGCCGGGTGTGGCGGTTTCTAATTAACGGAGCCACTCGGCGACTCCCATACACTGAACCAGGGGGTTCGAGCCCGCCCGGAACAGAACCGGGAGAAGTATGTAGTTGAAAAGTGACGTTAGCAGTGATGCATTATTAGGTGTTAGCGTTAATGAACTGAATCGAAGTTTCTACAATAGCATATTACGTACAATTGAATATATTAATATAAGTAGCGTGCAGTTCCGAGCGTTATGTTTGTTATCAATCAAATGTTGAGCACGTTGAGTGCACATCCGTTTTTTCGTCGTAGATGGGTGGACGACGGACGTGCTTCCTATTCACAGGCGGGTACTCTTGAGGAGAGTAGTCGTGGTCTATGATGATAATCAGTTTCGTTTCGTACTACAGTCAAACCTGGGTAAGTGAGAACTGGATAAGCGAGAAAACTCTATAAGTGAGAGTAATAGCCAGGACCCGTCATTTTAAGCTCCCAAAACCTCTATTAGCGAGAAACAGAAACCTCTGTAAGAGAGAGTCGTTTTTCCCTCACGGACCTCCGTAAGTGCGACTACTACTTATCTATACATCTATAAGCGACAGTCGAGCTTTATTTATTTATATTATTTAGGAGGAACAAATGACAAAACAAATTACAAATTTAACATCTGCTATTTTATGACTCATTCTTAACTTTCGTGGAACTTCCTATCATTGTTTTTGTAAAGTTTTCTCATCAATATTGAACCTATTCTATTTCGTGGAACTAAAATATAACGTTGTAATTTTATCGCATTCTTTTCGAATGGACACGTGTGCCTGTGTACCGTCCTGTTTGTCGGACTTACTCAGTTTATCGTTAATGAATTGCGAAGGAAAGTTCTGTTCTGCATCATGTTAAAACGGAAAATTAAAGTACTGTCATTAAGTGATGAACTTAAAATAGTGAATGCGTTTGAATCCGGAAAATCGCGAAATGAAATTCAGAGGGTGCATCAGCGAGAAACTTGGGTTAGTGAGAAACCTCTATAAGCGAGAATGAGATTGTGCTCCCTTGAACTCTCGCTTATCCAGGTTTGACTGATCCTACACCGGTTATGTCCCTTTGACGCGTATGTCCGGGGCTTTATTTGGTCAGTTCAGCGCATGGAAAATTATCTAGGAGATCGACAGCCATTGACTCGGCCCTAGATGACAAACCTATTTAAGAAATTCTCTCCACGTCCTGTGACTGCAGACGCACTAGATGCACCACTAATTATTCAGCAGGTCCGGAGCCATGGACACGACAATAGCCACCTGGAGACGGGAGCTCGAAGTTTCATTAGACAGACGACTATCCGGCATCACCCTTGAGGGAATATTATTAAACAATTTAATCCTCTTCCGCTTGTAGAAGTTACCAGCTGGTTGTACTAGTGGTAGGACCTCTTGTGAGTCCGCACGGTAGGTACCACCACCCTGCCTATTTCAGCCGTGAAGGAGTAATGCGTTTCTTCTTGAAGGGTGGGGCAGCCGTTGTAACTATACTGAAACCTTAGAACTCATATCTAAAGGTGGGCGGCGGCACTTATGTTGTAGATGTCTATGGACTCCAGTATCCACTTAACACCAGGTGGGCTGTGAGCTCGTCCGCACAACTAAGCAATAAATAAAAAAAAGGTATCCGCTATTTCGGCGCAAAGACTGCTTCTTCGATGTCTCAAAAGAGTGGTCCCAGTACCGACCCCCGTGGGACCCTGCACGACACCGCTTTCCGCCCCCCCTCTCCTCTCGGGGAAGACCACATCCGCCTTGAGAGGTAGTCCTCTATCAGGGTGCGGAGACTAGTGGGGACGCGGTGAAATCGTAATGACTCCACGATCGTGCTCCAGGGGATCGTGTTGAAGGCGTTGGCTATATCAATCGACACAGCCAACAACACGCCCCCCTCGGAGCACGCACGCGCAAGACCGCGTCCATGGTGGAGCGAACCCTCCGGAAACCGTATTGGTTAGGAGCCAGGTCAGGCCCAACGCCTTCGAGGTGTTGGACGAGGCGACTGGCAACATGCGCTCGAGGAGCTTATCAGCCTCGTCCAGCACGACGATTGGGCGGTACCGCTTGGCTCGTCACGTGGCTGGCCTTCCTTAGGAGCTAACACGAACCCTAGCAAGAGCAGTGCTTCGCAGAATCTACCACCAGATCGGAAACGCGACCCACTTAACCAAGAACATACTTTATTATTTTTTCAATTTTACAAATTCCAAAACATTACTTTAAGTTTAAAATATTCAATAGTTATTCAATATTGATTTGAAGTATATTCTTGGTCCATTATATTACGGTAAGCTATTTTACATATTTCTTCGAATAATATGGGCTAAGATTTGTTTATAAAATACATTTGGAAACGTGTTATGACGTTAATAAATAAACATTAGTAAGAGTCACGGTAACACGCCGAGGTTGTGAAAGACAGCTCGTCGGCGGAGCGGTTTCCTGCGAACTTGTACTAAATCCATGCATCTCCTTCATTTATTGTTGCAACTTTAACATTTCGCTGTCACTTTATTAAACTTGCATTTCTATTTTTGCATCGGAGTTCTCGAATATATTAAGTGTATAATCTATGATTGGAGTTGCATGATTTAAGGTTGTTGCGACTTTTTTCAAATTAATTTGGATTTTTGAGAATATCTAATTCTACGGAGGCTAATATGATGATGCAATAGTATGATATACACTAATTTCTAAATACATATTATGTATATCAATATTTTTTCCTAGCAGGATACATCATTTATTTTGAATATGTCATTATAACTTATATGCGATGGATTGCGTGAAAGACGATATGTGTAAGAGGGGAGTGAACGAAGAAATGGTATATGATAGAGGAGTATGGAAGAAGAAAACATGTTGCGCCGATCCCAGGTGACTAGGAGAAGGGCAGGAGAATGATGATGATGTAATTATAATTTATTTTATTATCTGAGAAATTTTATGATATAATTTCATGACGATTTCAACAGCCTTCCTATAAACGCATTAGTGGAGATGAATACATTATGTATGAAGACATTTAACCTTGTTTTCCGAATTTTGAATACGTCGTTGGCCTCCAAGAGCTCTGTTACCAAATTTTCATAAAAATTTAATTATGAATGAAAGCTTTGATGAGTGTTCTATAAAATATTGTTTATCTATTCAGATTAAATTCTTGAGTTAGTTGATAGTTCACACGCCATAATGTTCTTAGTTACAAACGAACGGGGAAGGGGGTATGTAATGTTCAGCAATTTAAAAAATTGTATTGTAAACCTCTAAACCTTTGAATGAGAATGAGGGTCTCAGTTAGTTAAAACGTAAATGTATTTTGTATCTTATTTTGTTAAATCTTTCTTTCTGAGTAGGTACATACTTGAGACCGCGCAATTGAACCTTTTCGAATTATTCACAGGGAGATGATCATTTTAATTGAAGATTACAGGGAATAAAATAGTAATTTCAATAATTAGTTTGGTATTTATTAAATACTTATAAATTTACACTACAAAACCAATTTTCAGGGAATTTTGAGATATTTTCGTTTTTCACCTTTGGTGTTCGTATACCAATGAAGTTTACATACTTGTATCCAAATTGTACCTACTGTTTTTATTTATTTAAACACTTGAATTTGTTTTATACCTAAGTATCAAACAAACTAAACGAGTATTTTCAATCTGAGACTGTTCCGTCTGTTATTTCAAACTACCTTCAACAACTTGTAAATCTTAAAATAAATATTGTTTGAAAATAAAACCATCAAGTAAAAGTTTAACAGTGTATTTCAATAGTTAAATAAACAAAACAAAACAAAAACAATGTGTACGTCATGTACTTGAATATATTAATATTTCTATAGATTTGGTTAAAGCATCACGCGCTGAGATCACCAGAGGGCGGGCGCGTACGCCAGGGGGTGAGCGACCGGCACGGGGTGGGGCACTGGGATGGGCTGCGGGACAGCTACTACCTTCTTCACGACCACCTACAATAGTAAGCAAGATAATTCACGAAATATTTAATATTATTCAATCAAAATAATCGAGTGTCAACTGACCTTTGGTACTTCAACTTTCTTAACGACCACGGTGGGGGCTGCGACCACAGGAGCGTGGAGGAGGGGGGCGCCGGGGATCAGACCTCCGTAGCCGTACCCGGCTCCGTACCCGTAGCCGAGACCGCCGTACCCGAGTCCGCCGTAGCCGAGTCCGCCATAACCGAGTCCGCCATAACCGAGTCCGCTATAGCCGAGTCCGTGACCGTAGAGTCCTGCGCCGTAGAGTCCGGGGTACCCGAGTCCATAGCCGAGGCCGAGTCCGGTGCCTAGTCCGCCGTATCCACGTTTCTCCCTCTTGTTTTCACTCTCAGAGGGAGCAGGGTCGGCCAGGACGGCGGCGGCGAGGAGGACTACGCACAACTAGAAAGACCAATCGTCGATTAATAAATGAGATCAAAGCACGGCGGAAGTTTAAGTAATTTTCGAATACTTACGAAGGTTTTCATTTTGAATGTTGAATGGTAGTTGGTGAGATGACTCGAAGGTACTGATGCTCCTCGCAGTCCGCAGATGGGGTTTTATAGGCGGCTCGCCGGCCGGGGCCACGGAATTTTGCAAAGCCTTCTTGATCGCCTGGTTGCGTAAAGTATAACATTATTAATTATTTATATGTTTCTATCGAGATGCGACATCGGTTTTTTGAATAATCTTATAATGATTTTATGCAATGCCACGTTAGTAGTATATTTTTAGGGGGCAACAGTAGCAAGCTTACTTTTATTTGTACTGGTTCTGGTCTCATATTGCCTGCTCTCGTGCCAATTTCTGCCACGAAGCAGCCACGAGCTACACTCAACTGCAAAAATAAAACAAGTTCTTGCGTGTCTGACCATTAAATGTATTGTAACAATTTAATAGAAACACACATAGGCACAATAAGTATACGTAGTTGTTGAACTGTTTTTGGTATCACGTTGAATTGACGCACGTGGCCCTTAATAGAGCCATTTTTCGAGTCGCCGGCAATGCAAGTATGACCGCTTTTACTAATGTCGACGCCATTTGTTTGCGGATGTCATAAAAAATTCCAGGGTTGTAAATAGCCTGTCTGATGTGACAGTCCTGCAGAAGGACATCGACCGTCTCGATCCTAGCTTACTGCACTGCTTACGTAGCAGTATGATCCTTAGTGCGGCCAAATGATATTCATTTCATTTCTGGAAAATGACCAGAAGCGCTTTCTCTTGTAATGATGCTAGAACTATTCAGAGTTACCCGGCGAGGATGAAGTATTTTCACATGGGCTTTCTTTCGGATTCTTTCTCATTTCGCTTCATTTCGAAGATGCACGCTCGATCCATTGTTCCTGTGGAAACTTGCTAATAGAGAATATGGTGTCCCCGAATTTCTTCTGAATTTCGGCCCATTGAGTTTCTCGCCGGATCTTCTCAGTAGGTTCGCTTTTCCGATACGGTGGCAGATTCTGCGAAGCACTGCTCTTGCTAGGGTCAGTGTTAGTAACGTCCACAGGTTAGAGCCTCGTGAGATCACCTACTCGCCCGGTGAATCTAGTATGACCCCTCGAGGTATAGGTAGGAAAAAAAAATCAATGTGCAGTTGACGACATCAACTAAGGGCTCCGAGCTTGAGGAAGTTCAAGGGTCATACATCCAACCTCGGAGGAATGTACTTCTTAATAGACTAGTTGAGAGAGCTAAATAATTTGCACAGCAAGTATTCTCGGGACCGTTTTTCAGGCCCTGTTGATTATTTTGGACGAGATGTCTAAATCCTTGACCTTATTTAATCTTATTTTTTACTGCCTATTTCTGCCGTGAAGCAGTAATTCGTTTCGGTTTGAAGGGTGGGGCAGCCGTTGTAACTATACTTGAGACCTTAGAACTTATATCTCAAGGTGGGTGGCGCATTTACGTTGTAGATGTCTATGGGCTCCAGTAACCACTTAACACCAGGTGGGCTGTGAGATCGTCCACCCATCTAAGCAATGAGAAAAAAGAATATTTTTTTATAAAATATTTGTAATAATGCCATTTTTTTATAGAATGTAACAACGGGCTTCTTTCACGAGGGCGTAATTGTGTTCGCACTTGGTGTGGGTTTAGTGCATGTGCTACTTGTCATGTATTATGTTATAATTAAAACAATTTCTACGGATTAAATGTGTGTGGATGTGTAAGGTGTTGGTACCCAATAAATAAATAGTGTTCACAGATCACTAAGGTGAACTCTTCAATACTACACGGACGTATACTGAACTTTCTGATTGAGAAGCTTACGTTACAATTTATGGGACAGATATCATTGTCCTGCTTATGGATTCAATTCCTTAATGAAAATTTCTATATAAAAACTACTTGTAATTGTCAATGTGCTTAGTGTAGCTTCTCTGTACCTCGTGCCGTAACGCTGACAGCAGTATTCCTACCCTTGTTCTTAACGGCTTTAGTTACCAAAACCTCTACAAGATATAAATATGACTTGTGTACTTGGGATTGTTCACGATGAGCAGTATGAGAGCAATACTAAGATTAGAATTTCTTGAGGTTTTCGAGTATAAATCCATAATTATATAAGTTCATTATTTTCCGTATAAGACCAGCTCACGCTTGAATGAGTCCATAGACTTCACCACCGCACGTGAGTGTCGCCCCATCCTCGCGAGACATTCTCAATTTTCTTTTAATATATTTTCATCAATCATCATTAATATTAAATTGATTATCAGTTGCGTTAAGCCGGCTAGTGTGTCGTGCCGCTGATAGAATGTCATCCTGATCGTGGTCGAGCGGACCATTCAGCTTTGAAGTGGCGTTGAGTTTACCATTAATACATTTGATTTAAGCTTATAGATTAAGATTACCGGCAGCGGCAGAATAACAGCGATAGTTTCAGCTATCAAAAAGCTGAGCCGCGGCCTTTTTATCTCCTCTGTTAGTATAATATATTGTAATATTGTTTAGAATTAGAATTTTTATGTCATATTAATTGAAAAGTTCTTTGTATTTGTATTATGGAGTAAATAAATGCAATTATTATTATTTGTTCTTTGCTCTATGAATGAATGATTAATTATTATAAAAACATTACTGTATCAACTTGGAATAGTAACATTTTATACTAAATTTGGTGTTGCCCCAATCGCACTCTCTCGGCGAACGGCCATTAAATTATTATGTGGCGAGTGTAACGATGCTCATTTCATTTATTAAAACAAGCAAAGATAAGCTTTTATCCAATAAAATCTAGTATAATTCGAATGCATGACTCGTGGGCACCAGATAGTCTGCAAAATTCTTATTTATGTTTATTATTTGTGGAATAAACAATCAAACCCTTGTAAGATATTACTTTAGTTTTAAATGAATGCAGCAACTATCTGTCAATGTGGGCGAATCATCCTCAGTAGTCGTCAACGGTGGTCGCCGTGGCACTGAAATATCTCGGAGTTCGCGATTCCGATCTGGTAGTAGATTCATTCGCGAAGCATTTGCTCTGGAGTGGTTAGGTCTCCTTCGGAGGCGCTCGGGCAGCTGTTAGCAAATCCCACCCCTCCTGGCTGAGCCTTTGCGCGCCCATCTGTCCTGTTGAAACTGGAAAGGCCTCCGAGCCACCAGTAATCCTTCAATCGTAAAAAAAAAACAACTTGGGTCCAGACACATCGTCGCATCGGGGAGATCATTGTCATGCATAACGTTCTGACCGTAGTATAATTGTTAATCGACTGATATTTAGGTATGCATCTCGTGATACAAATAGTGACTGCTATAGTGAAAACCTGACGTGAATCCGCACGGGTAGGTGTCACCTCCCTGCTTATTTCTGCCGTGAAGCAGTACCTAATGCGTTTCGGCTTGAACAGTGAGGCAGCCGTTGTACTGTTAAAAGTGAGATCTTAGAACTATGTCTCAAGGTGGGTGGCGGTATTTACGTTATAGATGTCTATGGGCTCCGGTAACCACTTAACACTAGGTGGGCCGTGAGCTCGTCCACCCATCTAAGAAATAAAAAACGCGTGGCACTCGGGAACTGCCGCGGTAAAGTTATTGCATAGCATTTTTTATCAACTTTTGCAATTATAATTAGATAATGATAATTCAATATCAAAACACTAATAAAACAAGACCACGCTATATTAAACATTAATAAAAGTAAAACCTTAACTGTCCCCTTCACACTCATAAGCTAGACCGCGCGAAAGCGAGATGGACAGACTTTTCATGATGCGCATGCAGTGTGACGTCACGCCACGCGCTTATTCACAAACACTACACAAGCGCAACGTGTGAATGTGTTGAACGAAAGCTACATGGTAGGCGGAGTGCAATAGCTTAAAAAAGGTAAGTGAGAAAAACTGCTGACCCTCCCTACCAACCTGTTCTCGAGACAAGACTTAGTCAGTCGGTGGAGTTTTTTTTATTACTCTTATAGGCAGACGATCATACGGCCCACCTGATGGTGAGTAGTTATCGTTACCCATGGACTTCAGCAATGCCATGGGCAGAGCCAAGCCGCTGTCTACCGCTTAATACTCTCCGCAAGCCTCGTTTGAAGAAGGACATGTCATAGCGCTCGGGAAACACCGTGGAGGGGAGCTCATCCCAAAGCCGGATGGTACGTGGCAAAAAAGACCTCTGGAAACGCACTGTCGATGAACGCAGCGGTTCCAGATAATATGGATGAACTCTGCTCCTATGGCGGGAGGTGCGATGATAAAAAGTAGATGAGGGGATCATTTCAAACAATTCCTCAGAGCACCCATGGAACACACGGTATAAAATACAGAGGGAACCGAAGTCCCTCCGTAAACCCGGAGGTTCCAAACAATCCGTGAGAATGGGATTATCGACAATCCGAAATCAATAGGTAGATGAGTGTGCAGTCCAACTGATGGTGAGTGGTTAATTTCGTATGTGAACCTAAGCAAGTCTAAGACGCTGCTAAGCCGGTGTCTCTCGCGGACAGACACGAATGAATCTAGCTCGTCAGACAGTATTGTTACGTCGCACCACCGATGGCGAATAGCGTTTCTCTGCGTTTTCTCTGTAACCTATAATATCTCGCGTGGATACGCCTGTTATTTTTATCAGAGAAGTATATTCAATAGCCATTTGCTAGCATAAAAGAATAAGGAGTTGTGACGTGCCAAAGAAAGACTTATTTTTCCTCAATATCCACAATTGACTATGAATGACACAATAAAATATAAATGTATTACAAAACAGTCATTGATTTCATTTCTACTTTTGCGCATTTTGATTCCACCACAATTACTTTGATCTAGACATTTGTTTTTCTTTATTCAGCACCATTGGACCATCTATATTAATATTATAACGATTTGTTTGTTTGTTTATATTGAATAGGCTCCGAAAGTACTGAACCGATTTGAAAAATTCTTTCACTGTTTGGAAGCTACACTATTCTCGAGAGACACAGGCTATATTCTTTTTTTTAAAAAATAGGGATCCTTACTAAAACTCCCGTAATGTAATTAAAGGTGTAAAAAAATTACCTAAAATATTCTTTACATTGCATGTGCTGCGAAAACTATTGATGATAGAATAAAATAATGTATTATGACTTTGTAGAACGCATAATTGTGTAGAAAGTGTCGCGACAGCATAAGAATAATATGTATAGGTAACTATGATAGTTATGCCACAAGAAGTGTTCTTTTATTTAAAAAAATAAAAAAACGTCAAATATCGTTTACAGGGAAGTCACCCGCACGGGCGAGTATCGTCACCCTGTCTATTTATTTCCGCCGTGAAGTAGGGGCGGTGGGTACCGTTTTGGTTTGAAAATTGGGGCAGCAGTTGTACTGTAAAACTGGGACTTAGAACTTATGGCTTAAGATTGGTGATGGCAGTTACGTTGTTGATGTCTAGAAGTTCCGGTAACCACTTAACGCCAGGTGGTCCTGAGCCCGTTCGCCGATATTAACCAAAAGAAAAAACCAAAATCAATTTCCATTGCTTACAGAGCTCACAAACATGAACGAGGTAATCACAAAAGTTAGTTTATGTATGTCATAAACTAACATGAGTCACTCTCAGAGTCCGAGATAATAATACTTTTTGCTGCTCTTCTATTACCGCGCCAATGTAAGTTTGTACATAGAATACAACTAATGATTATATGATATATAGCTTTCATTATGAGATACAAATTAATTCATATTATCATTTAATTCATATTTTTGCACAACAAACTACATAAATAGAAGCATGAGTGTTAATGCTCGAAGGATAATCGTCTTAATGACGAAAGAATATCCTAATATTGTAGTGTGGCGAGTAGTATGGCGAGAGCAGTGTTGCGCGACCGCGACTCCGCGCGCGGATATATACCGCGCCGCCAGACACTGCACATCACTCATCCACTGTCGCCGACCGCAGACAACAACATGAGAGCTTTTGTAAGTTCACGAGCACGCGTCAATTGGATCATTTTTTTCTATATTATCCCAACTTTTTTTTTGTCTAATTAAACAAGTGTAAATTATGACAGAGTACTTAGTAAACGAAAAACCTATTATAATGTTAAGTGATAACATTAAGGATTCTGAAAATAAAGGGATAGTTTATAATTTTATTTGTTTTAAATTTTAGGTATTAATCTGCACTCTGGTGGCGCTCGCCTCAGCCGGCGATGTCCGTGAGAAGCGCGGCTTCCTCGGCGGATACAGCGGTGGGATCGGATACGGCGGCGGATATGGCGGATACAGTGGCGGATATGGCGGTTACGGAGGTGGACTCGGTGGTATCGGGTACAGCAGCTACTCCGCTCCCGCTGTGGTCTCCGTCAACAAGGTCGTGAACGTCCCCAGAGTAGTTAGTGTACCCCAGGTCGTATCTGTCAACAAGGTAGTCTCCCAGCCTCAGGTGGTCACTGTCAATAAAGTTATCTCCAGCGGTATCGGTGGATACGGCGGCGGATTCGGTGGGTACAGTGGCGGATACGGAGGATACAGTGGCGGATACAGTGGTGGATACGGAGGCGGATACGGTGGCGGATACGGAGGCGGATACGGCGGCGGATACAGCAGTGGATGGTGGTGAACACTCTAGTCAGCTTAGTGTTCTAATTTAATTATTGTAAGAATACGTGTACCTGAAATCTAAATATAAACATAAATTTTACTGTTCACTTTTATTGATACAATTCAACAAAGAAGAGTAGTAATTCTCCGTTCTTCGTATCGACCGAAGTGATTACGTCTTGTCTGTCGCATCTACAGCAAACATTTCTTACCATGATTTTCTTTTGTTGAAAATGCTCTCAAAGTAACAGCGAAGAGGAGGAAAGATCTGTCTCTCTCTTTCATCTCGCATGTTAAAGAGGAGTGGAATTTTAAGTAATTAATAATACGAGCGGGGCGGGTTTTTCATTGTTACAGCTTCTTTTGTGATGTCTATAAACTGAGATAACCACGTAATAACAGGTGGGCCGTGAGCTTAACCTTAAAATACTGACTCCTTTGTTGTTGTGAACTATTGCTGAATGTATATCAATCAGCATTACCTTATGGAATTAACAATAATATATCCTCACTAGACATATTCTGTGCGGGGCGTGAGAGAAAGCGCTTTTTGCTCTCCGAACTAAACCAATACCAATCGTCGAGCTGGGTGTCAGGATAGGTTTCTTATCCGAATCCTAGTCCCTTAAGTGTTCTTGCTGCACGTCATCACGGATCCTCCTGATCCATTAACGGTGCTTTTAGGCAATACAAGCACCGGTCACCGTCCTCGTCGAACCCGTCGCTTGCGACGAAGGGCTCGACGAGCGAATTAACCCACAGACACAGCCCACTGAGTTTCTCGCCGGATCTTCTCAGTGGGTCGCGCTTCCGATCCGGTGGTAGATTCTGCGAAGCACTGCTCTTGCTAGGGCGGTGTTAGCAATTCTCCGGTTTGAGCCCCGCGAGCTCACCTACACAAGCTAGGGTACGCTGAAATAGCCTCTCAAGGCTATCAGCATAGGTAGGAAAAAAAAAAAAAATTAAGTGTTCGGGTCTCCGCTGTATGTCGGTTTGGGGACAGCCTTGTTAGACTTAACAATATATTCTTGATGCCATTCTCCACACGTTTTGCGAAAGAGCAACCCAGTTACGGATGACAGTGCATGCTGGTTGTGAAACCCAGTGCGGTCTCCGGGTGTACGAGTTTGTGGCGGCGACTTTTGGACAAGCTGCCCGGGGGCTGTTATGGAGCTGGCGACCGTCGGTTCGGTCTCCAGTCGGTGCACGTCGGCTTGCTCCCAGCGTGCCTTGGTTGAGTTCTGGCCCATGCGCATCCCCAAAAAGACATAGTCTTATGGTAATAGATAGTATATATTAGTGTTTAGTGTTAGTATAATAAATTTAATAGTGAAGGTATTATGAATTTAATTATAGTGATATATATACATATTTTGAACTTTTTGGAAGTGAAGTTGTGTGATTTGTTTTATTTTGTTTTTTTAGTGTTTAAATGTGTAATAACGGTGGTTCACTAACTGCTTAGTATCTGTAAAAGTGTACAAATGTGGGAAAATCAATCAAAGCCGCTGAACGTAATTTCTCGATATCCTTCTAAAAGTTTACTGAAAAAGTCTCAGTAAATGACCACCATTTTACTGAGATTATATTTCATACTATATCATCTCATCTTATCTCATTTCTTATTTCATAAAAAAAATTCATTAAAATTAAAGTAAGACTTGACCTAAAGGTCCATACCAAGTAATAAAATCCCTTAAAAATATATATATAAGTATTATTATACACATTTATATTCATAGTAAGTGAGAATAACAAAAATGAAGGATGCTTCGTGTGAATGGATTTGTGTTCGTACATGTGTATGTGCGACATAACAAGAATGGAAGCGATTGTAAAGTTTTTCGGTTTCGTGGTCATTAAATCTAATTAGACGCCTTCAGCTCTAATACTAGGAGCAGGCTTAGGGACCCCGGTAACCGTACTCGTCGAACTCGACAAAGAGGTCGACGTGCAACCTAACCCATGAATCAGCTCGCTGAGTTTCTCGCCGGATCTCCTCAGCGGGTCGCGATTCCGATCCGGTAGTAGATTCATTCGCGAAGCAATTGCTCTTGAGTTGTTAGGTCTTTTTCGGAGGTGCTCGGGCCGTTGTTAGCAAATCCCACCCCTCCTGGCTGAGCCTTTGCTCGCCCACCTGTCCTGGTGAAACTGGTAATATTTCAAACATAAAAAAAAAATCTAATTAAGTAATTTCCAGGGCCGCGCCGCCCCTATATGCGAAGTATGCGGTGCACACTTCGCCAATACAATAAGGGCGCCGTCACCAAAAAAATTACTAACGTTATACTTACACCAAAACAAAATTCTTTCTAGTGGAGTATCGATAAGTAAGTAGGTACAATAGGTACAACATATCACTTGTAAATAACAAAACATATAATGCATTTATAGTACAAGCATCCCAAGATTTACTTCAAAACATAAGTCAAAATTAACAAATATGTAATTAAAAAAAAATATTGAAACATGAAGATTCGTAAAAATAGGAGGCGCTTCATGGGTTTTGCATACAGGCGCCGCCGGAGGTCGGCGCCGCCCTGGTAATTTCTGATCTCAACCTGAAGTTTCCGTATGGTTACATTTTTCTGTCACATTTGCTTATTAATTTATTATGATATACCTACTTGTAGATGAGGCGACGAAAATTGCTGGAACCATTAACCGAACGAAGTTTTAAATGTCACTACCAACCATGAGCCATGAGAGTTTTAAATCTCAGTGCCTAATGGCTGCCCCATCCTTTCAACCGAAAGGCATTACTGCTTCACGGCAGAAATAAACAGCGTGCTGGTACCTACCTGTACGAGCTCACAAGACGCCCTACCACCAGGAATTACAGAAATTAATTTTTTTTGCTGGTTTGATTATTATTATACAATGTTATTCATTCTTCGTGGAAGTCATTCGAATGCATCGGCCGTCTTAACCCTTAGGTCAAAACTTCAATATACATGATTGGCATTTTTTTTAGACGGGGTGGTGGTACCTACCCGTGCGGACTCCCAAGAGATCCTACCACCAGTGAGACATAAAACCAGACCAAGAATACGATCTTTGACATTTAGTTTCACCAAGACATTAATATATTCTATTAACTATGTTTTTTGTGTTTTATTTTAATATTTATAGAAATTGGATAGCCTTTTTTATTGTGTTTCATTTATTATTTTGTTTTTTTTACTTGCTTTCCCGGCTTGCGGTGTAAGTCTCCATTTCACTCGACGAGCTCACATACCGTCTGCTGGCTGTAATTATGTAAACAAATAAATTTATTTTCTTTCATGACCAAATTCGGTTTCCTGTAACTTTCTGTGGATAGACCGCAACGCCCTTTGTACGAAATATTAAAAGAAAATTAACTAAATAAATTTAGTATAGCCCCCGAAACAATAGATATATTTGGAATTTGAATGCAAACATTGTCACTGTCCAGCCAGATGGTACTTACTGCAGAGTCCTCGATTGGTTCATTTCTAAGATCCTTTCGTTATTTCGCAGATCTTCATATATCTATAAACTAAATATTATTCTTCGATAAGATTTATCTTACATGAGCATCGTCATGGCGTTAGCGGTCATGATTTTTATTTGTATTCCTAATCACTTTTATATTATTTAAATACCGTCTTGATATAAAAAAAATTACATGATGACATTATGTAACAAGTTTTGAGTAATGTGTTTAACAGTGAAATAGACCACGTTATGATGCCATCAAGGACGACTAATGTTATGTACTGTATGTACTCACTTAGCAACGCACGGGCCATCGATTAGTTGTGTTTTCAACTCAACAATGTAGACCTTATTATATTTAAAGTAAATTACATTTAAATAATATATCCGGCGTGCTGATTCTGTCACTCCGATAGAAGTTATTTCATTTTAAAAATTGTTATAAATTACACAATTATAATTTATTCGCATTCAGAAGGATACTGTAAATAAGAACACAGATAAACGCGAACAGGTTGTAAACTGACAGGTGTGTGGCATTACTACACACAAACGATCGAAGGATTATGAATGAACGTCAGAAGAATGATTAGAGTGTGGCGAGGGCAGTGTTGCGCGAGCGCGCGGATATATACCGCGCCGCCAGACACTGCACATCACTCATCCACTGTCGCCGACCGCAGACAACAACATGAGAGCTTTTGTAAGTTCACGAGCACGCTTGCATCAATTTGTTTCTAATTAAACAAGTGTAAATTATGACAAAGTACCTAGCAAGCGAATAACCTATTATAAAGTTAATTAATAGCATTAAGGACTCTGAAAATAAAAGGATAGTTTATAATTTTATTTGTTTTAAATTTTAGGTATTAATCTGCACTCTGGTGGCACTCGCCTCGGCCGGCAATGTCCGTGAGAAGCGCGGCTTCCTCGGCGGATACAGTGGTGGGATCGGATACGGTGGCGGATATGGCGGATACAGTGGCGGATATGGCGGTTACGGAGGTGGACTCGGTGGTATCGGATACAGCAGCTACTCCGCTCCCGCTGTGGTCTCTGTCAACAAGGTCGTGAACGTCCCCAGAGTAGTCAGTGTACCCCAGGTCGTATCTGTCAACAAGGTAGTCTCCCAGCCTCAGGTGGTCACTGTCAATAAAGTTATCTCCAGCGGTATCGGTGGATACGGCGGCGGATTCGGTGGGTACAGTGGCGGATACGGAGGATACAGTGGTGGATACGGAGGCGGATACGGTGGCGGATACGGAGGCGGATACGGCGGCGGATACAGCAGTGGATGGTGGTGAACACTCTAGTCAGCGTAGTGTTCTAATTTAATTATTGTAAGAATACCTGTACCTGAATGTAAATATAAACATAAATTTTACTGTTCACTTTTATTGATACAATTCAACAAAGAAGAGTAGCAATTCTCCGTTCTTCGTATCGACCGAAGTGATTACGTCTTGTCTGTCGCATCTACAGCAAACATTTCTTACCATGATTTTCTTTTGTTGAAAATGCTCTCAAAGTAACAGCGAAGAGGAGGAAAGATCTGTCTCTCT